TAAATGAGATTTGTTTTTTGCTATTAAGTTGTTTCTGTTCCTTTTGTATCCTGGTTCTTAATCCCTTGTCATTTGACTAGTTTGCACGTATTTTCTTTCACTTTCTAGTTTGTTTCTTCACATTGTTTGTTCTTTCCTTTGCTGTGCATAAACTTTTTAATTTGATGTGATACCTTTTGTCAATTTTTGCTTTAGTTGTCTGCGCTATTAAAGTCTTACTCATGAGGCCGGGCGTGGTGGCTCACGCCTGTAATCCCAGCACTTCGGGAGGCTGAAGTGGGCGGATCACAAGGTCAGGAGATTGAGAACATGTCTAACACGGTGAAACCCCGTCTCTACTAAAAATACAAAAAATTAGCCGGGCGTGGTGGTAGGCACCTGTAGTCCCAGCTACTCAGGAGGCTGAGGCAGGAGAATGGAGGTTGCAGTGAGCCAAGATCGCACCACTGTGCTCCAACCTGGGCGACAGAGCAAGACTCCGCTTCAAAAAAAAAAAAAGTCTTACTGATGAAATCTTTGCCCAGACTAATTTCATGAAGTGTTTTCCCAGTATTTTCTTCTAGTAGTCTTATAGTTTAAGGTTATAGTTTAAGGTCTTACACTTAAGTCTCTAATCCATCTTTTTTTTTTTTTTTTTTTAGATGGAGTTTCGCCTCTTGTTGCCCTGGCTGGAGTGCAGTGGCACAATCACCACTCACTGCAGCCTCTGCCAAGTTCAAGCGATTCTCCTGCCTCAGTCTCCCGAGTAACTGGGATTACAGGTGTCCACCACCACGCCCAGTTAGTTTTTTTTTTTTTTTTTTTTTTTTTTGCCTAGAGACAGGGTTTCACCATGTGGCCAGGCTGGTCTTGAACTCCTGACCTCAGGTGATCCACTCACTCGGCCCGCCAAAGTTCTTGGCATTACAGGTGAGCCACCGTGCTGGCCCATCTTTTTTTTTTTTTGAGATGGAGTCTTGCTCTGTCCCCAGGCTTGGAGTGTAGTGGTGTGATCCTGGCTCACTGCAACCACCGCCTCTGGGTTCAAGTGATTCTCTTGCCTCAGCCTCCCGAGTAGCTGGGATTGATTACAGGCGCCCTACCACACGCCCCGGTAATTTTTGTATTTTTAGCTAGAGACGGGGTTTTGCCACATGTTGGCCAGGCTGGTCTCAAACGCCCTACCTCAAGCGATCCACCTGCCTCAGCCTCCCAAAATGCTGGGACTATAGGCGTGAGCCACTGCCCAGCCTCTAATCCATCGTTGGTTTGGTTTTTTTTATATGGTAAGATATAGATGGGTTCTGGTTTCATTCCTTTGCGTATGGATATCTGATTTTCCCAGCGTGGTGGGCTTTTGAAAATGGAGTATGAACCTAAGACCTATCCCAAAATTTTCAACTATGTTAAAATTCTGGTTACTTTTAGGCCCACTTGTCTCTGAGGCTGCATTCTTTTTTATGACAGTTTCTGAGAGTGATGTTGAAATGAAAAAGATTGGGTTCCAAATGGATATGTGACCCTACAGTTTATCTCAGTGAAGTAGTTTTCCACTAGGAGCCATACCTGCCCCCTCCACCTGCACCTCTTTCTTCCACCTGTTGAAGATGAGAATGGGAAATTTGCTAGGGCAGTTTGGTGGTTTTATTGACTGGATGATATTTTCAGCATTTAGTGGTCAGGGTCAGGTTTGCTAAATATCCTGTAGTAAGAATTGTCTCAACAAAAATTCCTTGAGAAACAAATTTCTTAAATACTAGAATTCTTTTTGATTTCTCTTTTTTTTTTTTTTTTTTTTTTTTGAGACGGAGTCTAGTTCTGTCACCCAGGCTGGAGTGCAGTGGCATGATCTCAGCTCACTGCAAGGGGTTTCACTGTGTTGACCAGGCTGGTCTCAAACCCCTGACCTCGTGATTTGCCTGCTTCAGCCTCCCAAAGTGCTGGGATTACAGGCGTGAGCCACTGGGTCCAGCCTTTTTTTGTTGTTGATTTGTCTTTTGAGACAAAGTCTCGTTCTTGTCCCCCAGACTGGAGTGCGATAGCGCTATCTCGACTCACTGCAACTTCCGCCTCCTGGATTCAAGTGATTCTCCTGCCTCGGCCCCCTGAGTAGCCGGGATTATAGGCAGCTGTCACCACGCCTGGCTAATTTTTGTACTTTTAGTAGAGACGGGGTTTCACCATGTTGGCCAGGCTGGTCTAGTACTGCTGACCTCAGGAGATCCACCTGCCTCAGTCTTCCAAAGTGCTGGGATTACAGGTGTGAGCCACCGCATCTGGCCTCTTTTTGATTTCTTAAAATGTTATTACATCTAGTGCATTAAGCTTATAATTTTGTCCATTTATGAAAATAACAGTGCTGTTGGTTAAATATTTTGATATAGACCCTTTGACGATAATTATATCTTCTTTTAGGACTGGTTGTAAGGAGATTGAGGGAAGGGAGCATGGCATGAGCAGCATTTCTGTCTCAATGGGGCCCTCTCTGAGTTGTGGACGGAGACCTACATCTAAATAACCTGTCATGCTCTTTTTCCTTCTTTGTCCATGAAATTATTTGCCTTTCTCAGTGCTGTTCCAGTAACAGTATGAGATCAGATGCCTCCATATTTGGTTTTAAACCAGATGTTTGGTTTCTCTTCCTAGGCCTCCTCCTAGATGTAAGAAGATTCTTTCTAATGTTGAAAAAGCATTGTGTTACAATTTTTGGCAGTCATCTAATCGTTACAGTTGTACAAATGTTCTCTGCTCATTCCCTTCAACTATTTGTTTAAGCTTGTGGGTTTCGGTCTCTGTTCAGTCGAAGATGGAGTCAGTTATAGCATAACAATTAAGGTCATGGAGTCTGAATCCCTACTCTGCCAGTTATTCTGTGGCTTCGAGCAGGTTGTTTAACTTCCCCGAGCCTTTGTGTTTTCATATAATAAGCGAGTATTGGCCAGGCGCGGTGGCTCACACCTGTAATTCCAGCACTTTGGGAGGCTGAGGTGGGCAGATCACCTGAGGTCAGGAGTTTGAGACCAGCCTGACCAACATGGTGAAACCTTGTCTCTACTAAAAAATACAAAAATTAGCCAGGCGTGGTGGCGCATGCCTGTAATCCCAGCTACTCGGAAAGCTGAGGCAGGAGAATCGCTTGAGCCCGGGAGGCAGAGGTTGCAGTGAGCCAAGATTGCACCACTGCACTCCAGACTGGGCAATAAGAGCGAAACTATCTCAAAAAAAAAAAAAAAAAAGTGAGTATTAATCTAATACCTACTTTTGAGGGTAGTTGTTAGTATTACTTGAGATAATGTGTTTAAAACGCTTGGCATTTTGCTTTGGGAGGCTGAGGTAGGAGGATCATTTGAGGTTAGGAGTTTGAGACCAGCCTGGGCAAAAGAGTAAGATCCCTGTCTCTCCAAAAAATAAAAAAATCATCCAGGTGTGGTGGCATGCACTTGTAGTCCTATCTACTGGGAGGCTGAGGATGGAAGATCGCTTGAGCCCAGGAGTTTGAGGTTACACCTTTGATCAGTCCACTGCACTCCAGCCTAGGTGACAGAGGGAGACCCTGCCTCAAAGAAAAAAAAGCCTAGCATAGTACCTAGAACACACGAAGATAATACATTGTAGTTGTCTTTGTTATAGCAATTATGAGTCATACATGGAGCTTGCTGGTCTATTCCAGCTTTTTAAAAAGGATTCAGATGAAATTGACTTTCATGCCATTGAGTAATGTCTTGTTCAGTTGATTCCTATAGGTCTGCCGTCACCAGGGAAATTCAGTAATATTGTCGATATTGGAGTTTAATTTAAATGCTCATGATCTGCAGGTCTGTGTACTGCATGCTGTAGCAACTTTTTTTTTTTTTTTTTTTTTTTGAGACTGAGCCCGCTCTGTCAGCTAGGCTGGAGTGCAGTGGTGTGATCTTAGCTCATTGCAACCCCTGCCTCCCAGGTTTGAGCAATTCTCCTGCCTCAGCCTCCCGAGTAGCTGGGATTATAGGCACCTGCCACCACACCCGGCTCATTTTTGTATTTTTGGTAGAGACAGGGTTTTTGCCATGTTGGCCAGGCTGGTCTCGAACCCCTGACTTCAGGTAATTCACCCATCTGGGCCTCCCAAAGTGCTGGGATTACAGGCATGAGCCACCATGCCCAGCTGCAACTTTTTATCTCATTTGCAGTTGGAGAAATTACTGTTTTAACATTGTTTGTTCTCAATATCCAGAAATTTGATCGAATACATTGTCATTTCATTTCACCTTTTTTCTTGTTTTGTAATTTACTGTTTTATATTATAGAATTTGTTGTAGCATTTTATTTTAAAGCATTCTCAGCGTATTTATAGGTATTCTTTAAATCAATCATTACTCAAAGACATGGTTTTTATTTTTTTTGTTTTGTTCGGATTACTTTTATATTACTGTTAACCATCCATACTTTTGGATTGACTATCAGGGTGTACTTTTTGTTACCTTGGAAAAATTAGTGGACCCCATACACAGACTTCTAATCACGTAGCTATTCTTTAAAGACTCGGATTAACAAGATTCAAAGGTTGTTAGATAACTTCTTGTTGGTTTTATGTGACCCGGGATTCTTTTGTGTGGCTGTATCTCTACTGTCATTATTATTTCATAGGAAATTTCATAGAGAGTACTAGTATCATATACTGTTGCAGAGAGGATAGGAATATACATTTTTGCAACCGTTATGAGGCCGTCTGACTTATTGTTTCTAGAAGATCAAATATTTTTTCCTGAAGGTCCTTTGAACCACATTAAATAGGCTAAAGATTAAATGCCCAAAAGGAGATAAATTTTTTAATAATTTTCTGGTTTATGTTTAGGCATTATTTACCTTAGACTGTATTTAAAAATAACAATAGTGGTAAGAAAACAGTATGATTTTAGAAACATGCATTCTATACTATTGGTTTCATTATACGTCTCTCTCTTTGTGTGTATGTGTGTATGCACAAAAGAATGACTGCATAAAGCAAAGGTTCACATTTTTTCTAATTTTATAAATTCCAGGGAGAAACACATCTCATCTTTCCTAAAAAAGCTTCAGTGGAGCAGCTGCAAAAAATTCGTGACCTGATTGCCATAGAGAGAAGTAGCAGATTGGATGGCTCAAATAAGAGCCACAAAGTAGAGTCATCTCAGCAACCTGCAGCCAGTACCCAGCTTCCTACAACACCGTCTTCAAATCCCAGTGGGTTAAACCAGCACACAAGGAACCGTCAAGGGCAGTCACCAGATCCACCATCTGCTTCGACGGTAATGTTAGAATTAAACCTTCTTTAACTGTTTCTTTCAAAATGTTGAAATAGCAAAAGCTTTGGAATGTGTTATGATTTATTCCTCAATTTATGCCCCATATTTTATTCTTGATTCTTATAACTTTAAAACATCCAAATTTCTTCAGCTCTTTAAAAAATTGTCAAATTTCCTCTACTGCATTTTCTGATCTAAATTATACCTGCTGCCATTCACTGTGGGGTTATTTCCAACAACACAGCCATTATCAATACCTTAATTCAATAAAAAAGCTTCTTTAGGTTTAAGGTAATTAAGAATGCATTAATTTAATGATAGTGGATGCTAGCAAATTAGTGAAATTTTGTTATTGGTATACACCATATATGTACTTGTGAAGAACTAAAGTCAAACTTACAGGCATTCTTGATAAGCCAAAATGATTCCATTTGATAGGAAATTATCCTGTTTACAAAAATCCCTTTTGACCAAGGTCCTTACGTATTCTTCTCCTAAGTTTTTACTGTCAGAAAAATTCTTGTGATAGTTCTGTAAGTCTAACAAGCACCTCAATGGATTTTTATGCCCCCTGAGATCATGTGCATTCCATTTTGGGTACCTTAGGTCTTCATCAGTTTTGCAGTTAAGGTTGGTACAGTTACAGAAGCTCACTTAACATCCTTCTTGGTTTTTAACACCTTTTCTTAGGAGTTTTCCAATTACAGTGTTAGAATATATCTTTTAAGATTTCCTACTTTATCTTTTTAATTACAGTATTATAGTTTAAAATGCACGTAGCGCAAAAAGTTTGCAAACATTTTTTTTTACAAAATATCTCTTTCCTGGGCTAAGTAGTATTTTGTTAGTGTTCTGGCTCAGCAAAGCCATTCACATTTTCTGAATCTTCTTTAAACTCTTTTTTTTTTTTTTTTTTTTTCAGGCTCTATAAAGTATGCCCATTTTTTTTTTTTTTTTTGTGGAGACAGAGTCTCATTCTGTCCAGGCTGTAGTGCAGTGGCACAATCTTGGCTCACTGCAACCTCTGCCTCCCAGGTTCAAGTGATTCTGGTACCTCAGCCTCCTGAGTTGCTGGAACTACAGGCACACACCATCACTCCTGGCTAATTTTTGCTTTTTTTTTTTTTCTTTTTGAGATGGAGTTTCACTCTTGTTGCCCAGGCTAGAGTGCAATGGTGCGATCTTGGCTTACTACAATCCCCCCATCCCAGGTTCAAGAGATTCTCCAGCCTCCGCCTCCCGAGTAGCTGGGATTACAGGCACCCGCCACCACACCTGGCTAATTTTTTGTATTTTTAGTAGAGACGGGGTTTCTCCATGTGTGCCAGGCTGGTCTCGAACTCCTGACCTCAAGTGATCCATCCGCCTTGGCCTCCCAAAGTGCTGGGATTACAGCCGCCTCACCCAGCCCTTTTTTTTTAGTTCTTAACCTTACAATTCAGATATAGTTCCAGGTCTTTAAAATCCTGTCAGTCACCAGAAAGCCTCTAAACACTACACTAAAAACAGAGTGTCATTCTATTGGCAAAACACATTCTAGTGTAGAAGAAAGTAAACTTTCTCAAAGATGTATGCTATTAATAGGCTAGTATATATCAATTCTTACTACTCTAGTCTTTCAGACAAAATATCTTCTGTATTTCTTAAAGAAGTTGAGAGAAATTAGAATGAATCTTGTTTTTCATAGACAACTCTTGGTTATTTGTGGATCACTTGAATATATGTATTTCTTAAAAGTGTTTTGTTAATTATGCTTTTATCATTAGTTGCTATACTACAGAATTTGACAGTTTTCTTCTACCTTGCCCATTTTGAGTGGAGATACTGAAAATTAAAATGTACCAAAGTCAAGGAGCCAGAGAGATAGTTTTTAAAGCATTTGACCTGTGTATAAACTGGATAAATCCTAGTGAATTTATAACTGTTTTTTTTGTTTTGTTTTGTTTGTGTTTTTTTGGTTAAAACTATATCAAGTAAAATGTTGATGTATAAGTCAAGATGATAGTCACTGATGTTGACATTTGCTAGTAAGCTTTTAAGATACAAAATACTGGAATATATTGATGCTGAATAAAGATGATAGTGGTGGTGGTTATTAGAAAGTTAATCTTGCTACTTTTTCTGGGCATTTTATGTTAATAGAATTATATAGTATGTAATCTTTTATTTCTGGCTTTTACTTTGTGTAACATTTTTGAAATTCTTCATATCGTAGGATATATCAGTATTTTGTTCCTTTTTATTGTTGAATAATATTCCATTTTAAGGATATGCCACATATTGTTTCCATTCATCAGTTGATGGACATTTGGGTTGTTTCCCATGTTTGCCTATTATGAATAATGCTGCTGTGAACATTCACATACAAATTTTTGTGTAGACATGTGTTTTTATTTCTCTTGAGTAGATTCCTAGGAGTGGAACCACTGGGTTGTATGGTAAGTTTATATTTGTTTTTAAGAAATTACCAAGCTGTTTTCCAAAATTGTACCATTTTACCTTCTCATCAGAAATATGTGAGGCTTCCAGTTTCTTAGTATCCTCACCAACCATTGTTACTGTCTTTTTTAGTACACCCATTTTAGTGGTTGTTAAGTAGTATTTCATTTTGGTTTTAATTTGCATTTCCCTAATGACTTAATTGATTTTCAAACTTGGTGGTTGTACATGCTAAGTGTTTAGTGTTCCTAATGGAAGTAACTTTCTGATAATCCTTTATTTTTATACAGTTGCCTTCCAAAGGCAGATTCAAAACAGCAAGGATAATTTTTCAATGACATGGTACCTCAGAATGTTAGAAGCATTGTTTCCAGCTTCACAACTTTATCTAGGTTAAAGATGTGATTCTGAAGTATAATATGCTTAAAATACACAGTCAGTACTTTTTACTCAGCTAATCTAGATGTATGCTTTTATTTAGCACATGACTACTTTGAGTATGTATATGAAATTGGTGGGAACTTTTCATCAACTCTTTATCGCTCCAGAAATTACTACCAGTTTATAATGTGGGTATGTGTTTGTTTAAACCAATTATCATAATTTGTGATTATTTCATTGAAATTATAAAAGTCATATATTATCAGATAATGATAAATAATAAAATGAACTAGTTAATTTTAAAACTAATTTTATCTCATAAAGTAACAATAAGGCAACCTCTTAGTCTTAGTCTGGATCTATGTGCGAGCTTTTTTTTTTTTTTGAGACAGAGTTTCGCTCTTGTTGCCCAGGCTGGAGTGCAATGGCGTAATCTCAGCTCACAGCAACCTCCGCCTCCTGGGTTCAAGTGATTCTCCTGCCTCAGCCTCCCTAGTAGTTGGGATTACAGGCATGTGCCACCATGCCCAGCTATTATCAATTCCTTAATTCAATACCTTAATTCAATATTTTTAGTAGAGACAGGGTTTCTCCATGTTGGTCAGGCTGGTCTTGAACTCCCGACCTCAGGTGATCCGCCCGCCTTGGCTTCCCAAAGTGCTGGGTTACAGGCATGAGCCACTGCGCCCGGCCTATGTGCGAGCTTTGTAAGAGAAGAAACCTATTTGAACATAAGATTTAAACATCCACTTTCTTTTTCATGAACCTACCACTCTTAAAAGTTAACTAATACCTACACGCCCTTTGATGGGGGATTACATTGTATCCTTATATCAGCATACTTAGGGTCTGTTAAAAATGAAGATGTGGTCTGTTTTGACATGAAGAACATTATTATATGGAGAAAAGGTAAACTAAGAATTCCAAAATTAAACAGCATATGTTGTCTGTATATGTGTAATATTTTGATTTTTCTTATTAGAAACATACACACACACACATATATATGTGTATATATATGTTCATTTTTTTAAAGGTTTGGAAGGCCATACACAGACATCTTAACTATAATGTACTCTGAGTGATGAAATTATGGGTGCTTTCATATTATTTATACTATTCAGTATTTTCTGAAGCAACATGTATTACCTTTATAAATAGAAAAGTTTTTCTTTAAATAAGTTTACTGAAGTCACAAGTTGATTAAAACATATTTAAAATAACAGAACTTTTATGTCTAAAAACAGGTTTTAAATTTTAAGGCCTCAAAGGGTTGCATAAAATTAAAGAGAGGACAAGTAGGCTCAAGCCTTGATTTGTTGTGTGTGTGTGTGTGTGTGTGTGTGTGTGTGTGTGTGTTTTAACTAAAGAAGTGAATTTGCTAATCTAACTTCCACTGATTAATTCCCATGATTTGATAAAATTATACACATTGTACTTTTTTTCTTATGAAGAGTCTTAAATATATCTCATATCAGAAATCAAAATAATTGGAAGTATGATTAGTGAAGATAAAAACTCTTTGATCTAAAACCAACAGATTTCACATTTCAAACTTCCATTTGTACTCCAAGTAACTTTAGTCTCTCAATTAACTGCTGCCTTCTGTAGCATTAGTACATGGTTACCCAGCTGCTGTAATCGCCATGTAATCAGCAACCTTCTATTTTTATGACTTAGTTTTTTCAGAGTTGTGCCAATGAATATGTAAAGAAATAAGGCAAGAAAATAAACTTTATTGTTTAAAATATTTTGAGTGCCATTAAAACTACAGTGAATCAGATAATTTTCAGATTGAAAATAATTAAATTGAAAATAAAAATACTCCGGATGAATTCTTACCTTCTTGGTAAATGAAAGTCTGCATTTAAGAAGAACGAGACACTATAAGTGCTTCATTTTAATATGAATTCTTTCAAATAAAAATGGAGACATTCCTTTTTTTTTTTTTTTTTTTCCTGTTTCTATACTAATCCTAGTAAAGGAGCATATTTGTTTCCATGACGAATTCCCTGGACTTGTCATCACCAACTCTACATTTCTTCTGTCAGCTGTTGCACAATCTCTTCTGTAATGGAGGCAATGTGTCTGCTCTTAATAAAGGCCAGTTGCTCCTCTCTCCCTATATCCCTTCTACTCTGTTCACCATGGAATCTCACATGGACAGTGCCCCATCTTGTACC